AGTGTGTCTATTCTTCCTGTTCAATCATATCTATCCTAAGTACAGCCACATGACAGCCCTTCGTTTAATCTGGGGTCTTCCCTAAAACTTTGGACAGTGATTTAAGGTATAAAAAACGGTGAAAGTACTGTTCGTCTCCATACAGTATTGTTTACATTGTAACCATTTTTGATAGCCTTGTTTGTCACGCAATTAGTTTTTCTGCAATATTCTGCTATGCACTGTTTATTTGGGCGTAATAAATTTCGTGAGTCATGAAGTAACGTTATGTAAACAGATCTGGAGCTCTGTTTAAACCCGAATGATATTGTTACGCAGCTAGGTATTGGTTGTTAATCGGACTATTGACCAGTCATAATTTGGAACCGAAATGTGCTTTTATTTCGGCAGTGTTGATTGGGATTAGGGCTAATTAAACGTATGTATGATTGTACCTATAATATATACTGTACATTTTTATATTTTCATCCATTTTATTATATATGTATATGTAAGTGTTTGCCATTTTAACAGAGTATATACACCTATTTGTTCCTTTATATTAAGCAGGGGGGGGGGGATAGATGGCCGAATGGTTAACGCGTGCGCGTTGTATCATAAGTTATTTCATTCAGTCAACTGGCGTGGTTCCATTTCCCGATTGTACGTGACAAGGAGTGTAGTAGGGTCGCCTGTCCAACTTCGTGTGTTTTGTCCGGCCCCCCCCCCACCCAAATGCTAAAGACCCCTACGCGGAAGCGAATTATTGAAATAAAATTGAACCTTATGTTAGTGCCGAAAGGACCTAGTTTGTGTCGAGTGAACATTACCCCCCCCCCCCCTTTCTCTCTCTCTCTCTCTCTCTCCTTTATATTAATATTATGTGTTTATTATCTTATCTAGGGAAAGGAGTTTTACATAGGTCGAGTCTGTTCCCCAATCCAATTCGGACACCCTGAATGAAAATATTGTTTTAAAAAAAATCCTTGAAATACATAAAACAGTAGAAAATCAGTTATAAATGAATTAAAACCGTTTTAAGGCATCTTACATTTTTAGTAGCAATTAGGCAGTTTGTTTTCTCTTGCCTCACTCAACAATGTTTACTTAATAAAGTGGAAGATTTAAATCACAGGTTGATCATATTCCGACTACTATGATCTGCCTAATAATAAGTCATTAGTCAAAACGAAATCACTTTACAATAAAATAAGGGAAGCGAAAATAGCAACTGAAATAAACGGGAATTAGGCCAAAAATAACATTGATTGACAACAGGTCAGAACGGTAGGCCTATACATAGAAACTGCCAGAACCCTAGCCATCGCATAGTTTTATAGTTTTTTTCGGGGGATGTAAGGACGAACTGTTCTTGTCTGGACAAGAATTAGCAACATAATTGTGTTGACGTTCTGCAAATAAAGGCTACAAATTCACCATTGTTATACGAAACTTTGGAAGCGAAACCATCTTTGCTACCGAGAATTACCTCTTTAGTCTCGGTTAGCAGGCCGCAACTATTTCAATCACGACTGACATTGCCAATCTAAAACATCGCAATGAGACTATACCAATTATTTTAAAAATCTTGAAACGTTAAAAATATTTTATTGGCGATATCTGAATAAGTCTTTCGTTCATAATTCACTTACCAGCGACTTCATTTTAAAATTTGCAAGAAAGCGAGGACGGTCTAAATCTATTGACACTATGAGAATATTTTTTGAAAAGTGATCGGCAGCATGTATCCAAATTACGACTTTTTGAAAAGTGTGTAAACATGAAAATAGTTCAAAAAAAATCTCCAACTTAAAACATAGGTTTATCTCACAAATAATATATCGCTTCCTGTCGATATTGGCATGTATCGGATCATAGCTTTATGGATTATGGCCCCTGGTTGTACGAAAAATCACGTTTTTAGCTTGTGTACACTCTAGAGATCACAATTTCCATCTGAATTTGATGAAGCTTGAAATGCATGTTTATTACCCAAAGATCTTGGTACTTGTCGATATTCGCACATATCGGATCATAACTCCCTGAAGTATGGCCATTGTAGCTAGTGGTGCCCCTAGAGGTCACAATTATTATCCGAATTAAAACAAAAAGTTCCAATATATCACTGTTACACCGTAATGTTAGTGAAGTTCGAATGTCGTGAAAATCGGATCAAAACTACCGCTTCTAGAGTTCTAAATATTCAAGCGAGGATAAATGGACAATAAACCTCCGATAAATTCGAAACAGGAACGTGTTTATCTCCTAATTGTGTTGATAACCCACCTATCGGTTAATGATTTATAAAACGATTGTATTATTTGTACTGACAGACTATAGATATATATTACGATTCTATTTTAATAATTCTCTGGTGCGTAGGGGTATTTAACAGAGGGAAGAAACCCACGACATTGCACAAGTGATCCTACTCCTTGTCCCACAGAAGGTTGGGATCGAAATCGCGCCATTTGACTCAACTTTTGGTCTTCGAAGGAATTATTAGTTAGTAGAAATTCGGCCGGGTATCTGTTATCACTCGCCACTTCAGTCAGTTATATTTAAGGATAACTCGCGTTTTCCTTTTGCGTTCGTCACTTCCCTTTCCTGAAATCTTCATTACGCATCTATCGTACCAATGATCTCTGTGTTAAGATTATATTTGGAACGTGTTTAAGCAGTTCTATAACATATGTGATAATGACTGGCACCAATATTGCCCTTTAATGCACGAAATTGTTCATATTCATTTATTCCACAAATTAATGTTATCAAAATAGTCCCTATATTCAAGCGCCATTTTCTAATGTTTGGGTTTGTTTTATTAAATTATTCCACCCATATTGGATCAAAACATAGTCCTTATATTCACGACCGATTCATTTATTCCATCTATATAATATCATAAAAAATAGTCCCTATATGTAAGAGCGATTTTTTTAAGTGATCGGATTTATTCATTCATTTATTCCACCAAATCCTAGTCTATCTGCTTGATTATTTTGTCTCTTGAATTGTTAATGATGGTGTTATACTGGAAGACTGAGAGGGAAACATTGAAAGGTTGACAAGGTGTGACATGTTTTATTACTGAATATATAAATCATGTTTATACGCCCACTGTCTTAAATTATCACTTTTTAAAAATAAAATTCACTGAGATAAATAATGTTAAAGTAATATTAGTCATTTGAAGATCTTAGAGTAATACTAGTAGTTTGGAGATCTTAAAAGTAATACCAGTCATTTGGTCATTTGAAGCCTTAAAGTAATACTAGCCTTTTGAAGATCTTAAAGTGATATTAGTCATTTGAAGATCTCAAAGTAATACCAGTCATTTGGTCGTTTGAAGATCTTAAAGTAATACTAGTCATTTTGGTCATTTCAAGTCTTAAAGTAATACTAGTCATTTGGTCATTTGAAGATCTTAAAGTATTACTAGTCATTTGGTCATTTGAAGATTTTAAAGTAATAGTAGTCATTTGGTCATGTCAAATCTTAAAGTAATAGTAGTCATTTGGTCATTTGAAGATTTTAAAGTAATAGTAGTCATTTGGTCATTTGAAGATCTTAAAGTAATAGTAGTCATTAGGTCATTTGAAGATCTTAAAGCAATACTAGTCATTTGAACATTTGAAGATCTTCAAGTAATACTAGTCATTTGGTCGTTTGACGATCTTAAAATAATACTAGTTATTTGGTCGTTTGACGAGCTTAAAGCAATACTGGTAGTTTGGAGATCTTAAAGTGATATTAGTCATTTGAAGATCTCAAAGTAATACCAGTCATTCTGTCATTTCAAGTCTTAATGTAATACTAGTCATTTGGCCGTTTGCAGATCTTAAAGTAATACTAGTAATTTTGGTCATTTCAAGTCTTAAAGTAATACTAGTCATTTTGGTCGTTTGAAGATCTTAAAGTAATACTAGTCATTCGAAGATCTTAAAGCAATACTAGTCATACGGCCATTTGAAGATCTTAAAGTAATGCTAGTCATTTTAGTTGTTTGGAGATCTTAAAGTAATACTAGTCATTTGAAGTTCTTAAAGTTATTCTAGTAGTTTGGCGATCGTAAAGTAATACTAGTCAGTTGGTCATTTGAAGACTTAGAGTATTACTAGCCTTTTGAAGATCTTAAAGTAATACTAGTAGTTTGAAGATCATAAAGTATTACTACCCATTTGTAGATCGTAAAGTATTAATAGGCTTGTGGAGATTTTAAAGTAATACTAGGCATTGAAGATCTGCAAAATAAATTTATATCTCTCCAACAAAATAGGGTTGCCGTCGATCTGACATTGCCGACATATTTCAGGTTACACGGGGTTTAATTTGATTTAATTATTTAAAAATACAGAATTTGAGAATATTTTGGCATGGAGGATTAAGACGTGGGAAATTTGATATGACTCACAGAGACTTTACAAATATTTATATTCGTTGTTAATGGTTTGAATCTCCTCTTTAAATATCGCCTGTCTTTCTCTCGTCATATAATTCATTGCATCCTGTTGCATTAATTCCTACAGACAATCATTCAGACATATTTGAAATATATTTATTTAAACATGAGGCGAACTCAATTACCTCGTCAAATATATATACAGGCTTCTTTTGTTTTTGTCTGGCCAAGGACAACTGAATGTCGAATTATAATAACAACTGTAAAATTCAACCCACTTGAGAGTGTGAATGGAGCGAGCAGAGACACGATCTCCGGCGCATCCTTTCCCTCCAGCAAGGAATCAGATCATCCCGGTCGATTGCTTATATCATTAGTAGGTCATTGATCTTCATTGTTGATCTTTTTTGAATTGTGTATCTAGTTGAAACGTTGAGAAATCCATACTCACTGCGACCGTTATGGGTTGGGAAGTTGTGGGTGTGTGTGGATAGGGGGCGGGGGTTATAATAATATTCTTTTTCCTCCAAAAATGTTTTTAGAAAGGGTACCTGTGAAGAACGATTTTGATTCTGGTGCCGTGTAAAACACAAGTTTAATGATCCGTTGTTATTTTCAGAAAACCTTTTTAACTTTAAAAGTTCAAGCAAGATAACAGAAAAAAAATGTATTGGCCAGAACCCAGTGAAACAGACGCCATTGTGGGCGAACACAGATCACGTGAAGACAGGTACACACAACCAGCACGAGACAGGTAAATATTATTTTATGAAAGATATTTATTAAGTGTAATTTAATGGTCGAGTGCGCGGCATTAAGTAATATATTGATATGTCATGAGTGCTATATTTATATTACGCCATGTCTTGCACGAGACCATTAAACAACTTCAAATACAGACACTATCCGGCACGTGCTTTTCAATGAAATACGCGGGTCCAATTTTTAAACTAGTATAAATATTGTACGCTTGAAATAATGGTACGCCAACATCAAAGATGACGGCACATCTGTATTTTAAAACAGTATAATATCACATTCATCACATGTTACTATTGAACCGGTTGTTCTTATTGGTCAGGCTGTTCTTACTGAACCGGCTGTTTTTATTGAACCGAGGGGTTGGGCTGTCGATCTGTATGGATTAACCACTAAGACAAAAGAAAAAAAAGGTACCTTTTTGGGGAACCAATAAAAGGGGTGGGGGAACCAATAGAAGGAGTGTATCTAGATCCGAACTGGTCGTGGATCACTGGTACAACAGTATCAGAGTCAACGAGTCAACAAAGAGATGCTCAATAATAAATCTATTGTTTCATTTCGAAATATGAACATTTATTTTTCGGTTTAATATCGTGTGACACCATAATCTGTTCAGTGTTTATAGCCTATGATGGTTTTAATCCGGTCCTGTCGTCATCAAGCATTCGATCATGTTGCAATTTATAATCGTTATACAATTTGCGTGTTGTTACCCTTCCAACCAGAAACATGACACTTGGTTGGGTCTTTTCTACGCAAAATGTCACTTCGTTGGATATTTTCTTTAGAACAATGACGTTTAAAACGCCATTTTTATACTGAATGACACATACGTATATATATATTGGAGAACTGCAATCTGTTTAGTTTTTAGGGACTCTAAGTTGGGCCCTGGTAGCAGGCATCAGATATCTTATTTCATATACTTATGTTGTGAGTTATTCTAAAAGGGGATGTATTTTCTAGCGCCTTGTACAGTTTGGTTATTTTACTCTTCCAACCAGAAAAAAAATACATTTTGTTGTTTTTTTTCTCCGCAAAATGACGTTTGGCTAGGATTATTTCTTTGAAAAGCCGCTTTTATGTTGAATTCCAACCAGAAAAATTACATTTGAAAAGCCGTTTTTATGTTGAATTCCGACCAGAAAAAATACCGTTTGTTGTTTTTTCTCAGCAAAATGACGCTTATGTCTTCAGAAAATTACATTTGAAAGCATTTTTTATGTTGAATTTTACATACATAATGGGGCACTATAATAGGGACTCTAAATAGGGCCCTGGTGTCATCAAATACTATTTTTATATAAACATAATGTGCGTCATTGTGGGAATATAAGTCCCAGCGACTTATACATTTTGTTTTTTGCCTCTCAGCCAGAAAAAAGTTTGGTTTTTTTTCTCCACAAAAATGACATTTGAAACCCTGTATTACATTACACGGATCATATATTCTTCATACACACATTTTTGTGTGGGTTTTTTCTTCTTTAATTTCATATTTAAATATCTTCCTTCGAAATGCTTCCTAATGACAATTTTGTGTAATGGGCACTCGAGGATTAAACCACTTAAAGATAAAACTTCAAAAATTATAACAGCTACCGCAAACCTCAGTCAACATTAAAGCAACTTGCCGGAAACTGATAATTATATATTTTTGTAACCAATTATCCCGCGCGTGCCAGTATAACATATATCTAATTTTAGACTTTATCCCAACAAAAGGCTGTAATACAGTTAACAAAAGGTTATCACCAGAGTTAAAAGTCCAGAATGCTTTGAAATGTTTTTTATATTGATATGAAATAGAAGGTTGCGCACGAGTTTTTAAAATTGAAATTCAGTGGTAGTGTTTAGATGGCACGTAACCACAAGTTTATCGTATGTTAGTCTACTGTGACCAACTTTTGTGACACTATGCTGTGTCTGGGTAGGACTTTACGCTGTGATCAATTAGGAACTAACTTTGACGTCACGTTGTGTATCAAACTGTTTGACTCTGGAACACTTTGTTTCATTTAACTATGTTTTTTATATCCTTATAACATCCATAATACAACGTTTATATACAGGGAACTACACACACATAGCTATGACATTAAATATAAGCTAAATATAAGTTCTCTATCACTTAGCGCGTGTTCTGTGGCGAGAGCCATTCCGGCCTCTAAGCCGAGGAGGCTGTGGGTATGATTTTCCTCGGGAACTCCGAATGATGTCTCTCCTAGGATGTCTAAATGGTGTCTTGACCCTAGCCTCTTAAACCGAGGAGGCTGTGGGTATGATTTTCCCCGGGAACTCCGAATGATGTCTCTCCTAGGATGTCTAAATAGTGTCTTGACCCTGGCCCCTAAGCCGAGGAGACTGTGGGTATGATGTTTCCCCAGGAACTCCGAATGGTATCTAAAGGGAAATTTAACCTCGCTCTTTCTTAATATTTTAGAAAGTATGTCAGCTATTAGGGCGGGGCAAGTACGTCAACATTATTCTATTTAATTGTACTAATCTGCGCACCAGACTTCTGGACGTTAGTAACCTACTTTCAGCAATTGATGATGCCAGGGTCTGTCTGTGAGTTAGTCTAAAGAAGTTGAATCTTGCAAAATACCTACTTAGCCGATTTCTCGCTGTCACCCATTTGTTTAACCACTTCAATATTTTAAACAGAGCACCTTTCATAGTACCAAAATAACCTCTATAGTATTACACTTTGTCTTATTCTTTCTTCCTGAAAAATAAGACAGCTAGGAAACACTAAGACAGGTTATTTTCTAAATTTGTCTTTCTTAGTGCGTTTATCTTTATGATTATTTTATTTTGACCTTTCTTCTACAAAATGAAATGGGGGTTAACGTCCTACTGTTCTGCTCAGAACTGCAATAATGATGACCGGCATACGCCATACAGTGTGCTATGAGGGAAATTTTGCCCGGACAGCGGCACTACGATCTACTTTTATATCGAATTCCAACTGTCAAGGGATCTTTTACGTGCACGCCAATGTGTACACAGGACCTCGGTTTTTCGTTCCACCCGAACGACTAGGCAGCTGTCCTTGTTAGGCCTCCCTCTTTAACCACAGCAGTTTGGTCTCTTTTAGAGTGAAAATAACCACAGTATTATCTCTTTTAGAGTTAAAATAAATACCATATTATTTCTTTAAGAGTGAAAATAACCACAGCAGTTTGGTCTCTTTTAGAGTGAAAATAATCCCAACAGTATGGTCTCTTTTAGAGATAACCACAATATTACTTTATTTAGAATAAAAATAACTACCGTATTATATCTTTTAGAGTGGAACTAACCACCGTATTATTTATTTTAGAGTGAAAATAACCAAAGTATTATCTCTTTAAGATTGAAAATAACCACAGCAGTATCGTCTCTGTAAGAATGAAAATAACCACAATATTGTCTTTTTAAGAGTAAAAATAATCCCAACAGTATGGTCTCTTTTAGGGTGAAAATAACCACCGTATTATCTCTTTAAGAGTGAAAATAACCATAGTATAACCTCTTTAAGAATGAAAATAACCCCAGCAGTATGACCTTTGTTAGAGTGAAAATAACCACAGTATTGTGTCCAACTGTAACTAGATAATAAAGGAAGAAAATCAGACAGTTGTCATAAAATTATGAGTAATATGTTATGAAATGTTAGCTATTAAATATTATGAGAAATATGTTATGAAATATTAGCTATTAAAATGAGGCGTATATACCCTTTATGTATTGAGACAATATTGACGTCATGTGACGTCACTGAGAACGTTGTCTTATGAACATTACGGTTACTATTTTTACATCAATTCGGGTACAGAGAAAGGGTTAAAAGCCAGCGTGTTCATGAAATGAAATGGGGTTTAACGTCCTACTTTTTTCTCCAACCGGTCTAATGAAAATAGATATACATCATGCCTACTGCCAAGGTTTCTTTTATGTGAACGACAACATGTACACTCGGCTGCAGACTTCTTCACATCCGACTAGACGTTGTTCCTTGCCGGACCCTCCGCCTCCACACGGAGAAATCTGACTGGGAATACCTGAATCGAACCATGATTGCCCGGTTAGCGAGCCAGTGACTAACTCGTTCAGCCAACGTCAATTCCTTTCTCAACAAACCAAGTTGACGCTCTTTCTCATTGCGCCATCGTGGATTTTAGAGTTAATATGTATTGATAGGTTCCCACTATCACGATTCGCGCTACGATTGAAGTCATGGTATTAATCGCGGTGATCCTATCATATATTGTGGTCAGTCGTAGTAATCGTTTCGATCGTATCTGCAGGACAAGACCGCGGACAATCCTATCGTAACTTATCGCTCAACAGTGGGAACCTAGTACAGAGTTCTGTTGTTGTCTTTAGGTGAAATGAAATGAAATGGGGGTTAACGTCCTACTGTTCTGCTCCGAACTGGGCTAATGAAGACGGGCATACGCCATACAGTGTGCTATGAGGGAAATTTTTCCCGGACAGCGGCACTACGGCCTACTCTTATACCTAATTCCAACTGTCAAGGGATCTTTTACGTGCACGCCAACGTGCACACGGGACCACGGTTTTTCGTCCCATCCGAACGACTAGACAGCTGTCCTTGTCAGGCCCAATGACATGAATCACAGGCAAGGGGGAACCACGCCGGAAAATCTGAATGAACTTTCTCGGCCAATGCAGGGATCGAACACCCGACCTCCAGGCTAGCCACGTGACTCCCCCTGGTGTCTTTAGGTTACTCACATGTTTATCGCCTTAATTCGGTTTGTGCTCTGTTGTATTCACCAACCTCGTGTGTTTTCTCTGGATCCTCCGGTTTCCTCCCACTGCTAAAGACCCCTACGCACAAGCGAATTATTGAAATAAAATTAAACCATATGTTAGTTGAACAGTTAGCCAACAAGCGTATAACGGTCAATACCGAGATATATGTCAACATATTGCGATAATTGAGATGATTTAGAGCCAACAGACAAGTTTTACCGAGTTAAT